AACAGACAGACAGAGTTTCTGATTGGAGCACTTACTTTTGCTGGACAGGTGCGATTTCTCAGGACACTTATATTAGTGAAATACCTTTAAGAATTCAACTGGGACCGTATGACATTAGCAGTGTTGGGCAAATTACTCTGAAAATGTAATCAAATTACTGATTACTGATTACTCCTTTTAAAAGTAATCACATTACTGTTCTGATTACTTTATTTCAAAAGTAATTAGTAACATTACTAGTTACGTTACTTTTTTCTCCATGAAATGTATGAAATCCCAGCATACACGCTCCCGATAAATATTTGTTATTAAAGCATCAACATTCACAGAACACTGTTATTTTTTAACTAAAGCAAGCGGCTGCTGCGTGCATAGTTTTGCATGGCAGAATGCCAGCAAAGAGCGCTGCATTTATAATCTCTAAAAGACATCTCAGTTCATCGCAATCTCACAAATCTCTGTTATAACTCAATAAATATATGCATAATGAATCTTTCATAATGTCTACAATTCGTGTGTTATAATGAGAGGATTCGTGAGCACGCAAATTTCAGCACTGCATTCCTCAACGTTGCAAACACGTGTTATAGCCTAAATAGAAACTCTGCATAAGCTTGCACCTGTTAATCGTATATATTTTATATTAGTTCATGTTGCTTTTGTGCAATAGATGAATAACAATTTATTTGTTTTAGATATTTTATGTTTAGATATTTCTATTTTGCTGGAGTCCTGCACTGTAAAAATTACCGTGAATTTAACGGTAAAAGACTGTAAAAATACTACCGTAAAAACCTGTTAAATGGTTAACCGTAAATTCCCCTACTATATACGGTGAAAAACTGTATTGGACATTACATGTATTGGACATTAATTTTACGGTAGTATACCGTTTTTGGAAGTCTTGAATAGTGTCGGTTGACAGTGAATAACTCTAAATTGACATTCCCAGAATTCCCTGTGTTACATTTCAAATTTGATATTTTTTTGTTGAAATAACTGTTTATTCTTAGTTTTTTCTTATCAGTTTTGTATATTAGGGTTGTGTGTTACACCTAATGTTGTTAAATTAATGTTTATTGCATTATTTCAGTTTCATGTGTGTTACCATGATGGTGTTTAGTGTTTGTGTTAATGACACTGTGCACCTTCTATATATGTTATTATTTAAAAGCTGCTTGTGATGGGCTTTGGTTCATCATGTGACTTTCTCATCACCACCTGCATTTGGTGGTTATCAGTGTATTACAAAGGTACAAAACAGATTTCAGTACTTCAATAGGTTGGTATATTAACATTATATCAGTTAATGAAATTACGGTATTTAACTGTAAATTTAAGTTAAAACCGTAAAACCTAAAACGTTGCTACCGTATTTTTAATCACAGCTGCTGCTTTTTTTACCATTTTATTCTCCCGCATCCCGCACACACACACACGAGTGCCTACCCGCCCGTACCAGCACTCGCCCATCTTGTCCCGCGCCGCACTCTGTTGCATCGGGTCTCGCGGGAGCAGGTCTCTAATCCACTGGCACTGGACTCGACAGTGTGTGAGCTACATCCTTTTTACAATCTCTAAATTATAAATCACTGCATTCTGTCAGCAATGTAACGCGGCAGTAACGTATAGAGACCTCGGCTTGTAACTATACTCTAATTACTATTTAGAAAATTATAAAGCGTTAAATTACTCCGTTACTAAAAAAGTAATCAAATTACAGTAACGCGTCACTAAGTAATGCGTTACTGCCCAACACTGGACATTAGTAATATCAAGTTGGGTTTGTATTTGCTTAAAGCACTTTTCTGTCCTGTGGTGGCATATTTCCTACTGAAACAGGACTTGAGTGAGACATTTCGAAGGGCACTTCCCTTTTAAAAATAATAATAATAAAGAGCCAATATAGGCTTTAGTTAAAGTCATATTGAAATGATTTTCAAATATTTTCTTCCATATTGTGACATTTCCAAGAGCAACAGATTGCCGAAAAATAAAAAAAGAAGGAGGGCAGGGATTTGGATCTATGTACTGGTTGTTGATTGGATTTTGAGATGTGGGTGAAGTTTAGGCAGACTAAATGATTGAAGAAGTCCTGCATACATCAGAGTATTTTCACCAGAAGGTGAAGTTATGACATTTTGATTCAAAATTACATGGTAAAAAAAAAAAATATTTTTTTAAATTACACATATGCATGGATGAATTGTTCACAATAACATTTATAACATTCATTCACAAAAACAGATAAAATAAAAACAAAGGTGAATTTTCATTTCTTGCCAAATTTAAGTTACATTCAAAAACCACAATTTGCTACTTCCTTGTCGATGTGGGGAGGGACTTTGTCATTGTAGAAAGTATTTGACTGGTCAAAAATCTGTGTAGTGCAGGATGAGCAGAAGAGAAAAGCACATTTTAATGCATTTATCTGCTAAAAGTTAATTTTGTGAACTTTTAAGGATACACTACCATACTGATGGTCCAAAAGACAACAAACATGGACTAAAAATCACAAGACTCCAATTTTGATATTATGGGGTATTTAATGGGCCTGCCAAACTAACATAAATATTCTTGACACAATGACGTTTAGGTTTTACCCTCAGAGTACCACTGGCACACATTTCATAAACAACTCATCTTCATGACAACTGGCTCTGACCTCACCACGTGTTCAGATATGTGCATCTGATACACATCAAAACAGTGTGAGTAATGGATTCAGATCATGCAAAAGCAAATCAGCCATGAAAAAACTAAAGGGACGCTCAGTCAGTAACTTTATTTCCTACAGTTGGGCAGTGGAGAAAACACACACACAGACACACACACACAACTCCTGCTTCTGCACACACTTGCGCAACTGATCTGGAATCTCTACAGAAACAAGCCCCAGCATGGCAGCCTGACGGGTACAGCAACACACCCAAAATCAACAATGCCTACAATCACCTTTCTTTCTCTCTCACTCTCCCTCAAGTCACCCATGATCAACAACATACTAGCTAAGACCATTAGAGCAGGACTCCCTCTGTCTCACTCCACCTCCTCCAAACCCCTGCAGGTCTCCTATCTGTTTCAGGTTCATGTACAAACCTGCTCAAGGTGAAGCATCTTTGAGATACACATGTGTAAAGGAAACTCTCAAACCACAGAAATATGCATCCCCAGAACTGTTACGGATTTTCCCCCCCTAGAATTTAATGATTTATAAGAATTCTATAGGTGAATGACAGATAAGAATGTCTGAGATGATACAAAAATGTAAAAAACAATTACAAATTGGATGAAGCTGAAAACAAATAAGTGTCAAGTATATGTATGAACTGAATATTTTAATTCATGTTCGTTTCATGTATAGCCTATTTTTGAAAAATGTTTTAAAGGGGTCATATGATGTTGCTAAAAAGAACATTATTTTGTGTATTTGGTATAATGAAATGTGTTTATGCGGTTTAAGGTTAAAAAAACACATTATTTTCCACATA